CATTTTGTTCTAGCTAAACATCCCACGTGAATAACCAGACCAAATGCAGCTTAGTGTTGGTTTGTCCCTCGGGCTGGAAGTGTTGTCGCAGACGTTTTGTAGCCAGACTAAGCAACATCATCAGTGCATCTTCGGTTTGGTTTTTATTTGTAGTTTCATTCAACCAGTGTCTTTTATTTTTGTTTTACCCAAGTCATTATCACTATTGAAGGTTTTGTGCAATGCGATTATACTGAATGTAATTTTATCCTGTACGTTTAGAATGAATTCGACAGAAGCCAGCACTTGTTAATCCAGCGGTATGAGCAAGAAATTCGTCGACAGACTGCGCATTTTCGTGTCTGCTGGTAGTGGTGCTGCCGGAAACCCAGCTATCCGTGGTAAAGGCGGTGATGGTGGTAGCGTTTATCTAGAAGTGAAAGAAGGCTACTCCCTGGGCCGATTGGTGCAGGATAATCCAAGTAAACGCTTCAAGGTTTGTGATTTTGTTTTTACTTGTGTTATTTCTTCTTCTCAACTTGCTTTTGTTTTCCTAGAGTGTCGAGAAATATACTTGCACAGTGTACAGTTGATTTCGGAGCATGCTTTCTCCTAATCAATGAATCGTCTGCAATGGTTGTTATGTTCGAAAGATGCGGAGTAATCCAGAAGCGGGTTTGGGACGAATGCAGGATTTAATCTTCTAACAATCATAGTTCGAAAGCTACAATGTAAGGAAAGGGAAGGTTAATAAAGTTCAATTTGAAATAGAGTAACACATCACTATATGGCATTCTCCTCCACAGAATAAGAAAACCAGTGGCGTATGGGGATTCCTTTTAAGCCTCTCTGTCCCACAGGTTATACGGATGAGCACGTTGTTTTTTGATGTGATGTTTCAGGTTGTCTTGTAGATCTGGCTGCGTAACTGACTTCTGGTGGAGGGGTTTGAACAGGAGCTGTGAATGGGCAGTTTCTAATTGTGAAGAATTGGTCTCGGGATACGACTGCGAGTGATCGTCAGTATTAATACTTTGGTTCGCTTGGTGGTAGTGGTGTAGTGGTTTAGTTGCTGCCACAGGTGGGCTTTGAACCCTATGGTCCGAGGGTCGAGTCCGG